AATATGGAAAAAAAAGACACTTGCACATATTGGTGGAAATGTAAATTAGTACAGCCACAATGGAAAGCAGTATAGAAGTTCCTCAAAAAATTAAAACTAGAACTACCATATGATCTAGCGATACCACTATAGGATATAAATCCAAAGGATCTAAAATCAGTATGTAAAGAGACATCTACACTCCAGTGTTTATTTCAGCACTATTTAAAATAGCCAAGATTTGGAATCAATTTATGTGCCTGTCAACAGATGAGTGGATAAAGAAAATGTGGTAACACATGGAATACAATTCAGCCATAAAAAGAAGGCAATTCAGTCATTTGTAACAATATGGATGAACCTGAAAGACAAGTGAAATAAGCCAGGCACAGAAACACAAATCTCACATGATCTCACTTATATGTAAAATCTAAAAATGTTGATCTCATACAAACAGATAGTAGATTGGTGTTTACCAGAGGCTGCGGAAGTTGTACTGGACAGGGTCCGGAGGAGAAGTTGGTCAAAGCGTATAAAATTGCAGTTAGATAGGAGAAAGAAATTCAAGAGATCTGTTATACAGCATATTGACTATAGTATATGAAGATACACTGAAGAATGCAAATGTTGACTGTTCTCACAAGAAAAATAATAATTATGTGAGGTGATATATATGTTAATTCGCTAGAATTAATCATTCTACAATGTATATGTCCCATAAGACATCTTTTTTTACATGTTAAATACATAGAATTTTATCTATATTAAATAAATATATTTCAAAAACAAACACTTGTGGAATAAATTAAGAAAAAGAAATTGTTGGAGAAATAAATTTTGAACAATGTGGTAAATGTGCATGAAAGATTTTTCCCCTTAAGATCTTACTTCTGGCTATTTCCAATACTCACAAACTTATTCAATACTACTTAGGAAAAGAAATTAGAATGGCAATTGGCAGACAGACCCTAAATTCTGGGTTATTGTAAAAAATATTCTATTTTTTAAGGAGAAATTTCAAAGATAAATCACGTGCAATATGTAGAGAGCATGTTCTTTGTATCAACAAAGGAGAGCTAAGCTTACAGCACAGGTTAGCGATGAGAGAAAATTAAGAAAATTGATCAAAATAAGCTAAGGGTTCACCAGATAAGGAAGATGAAAAATGATTATTAAACCACTTAAAACTATTGACAGTCTCTAAATTGCCATTTTAGTAGATTTTGCATGGCTGATTTCATACTCTAGGTTTTATCTCAGTTCAACTTTAAGAGCCTTATCCACAATGGGTAACTACCTATATGACCTTAGCCAAATTGCTGTACCTATATGTGCTTCAGTTTATTCATCTGTAAAATATTACTCAGTTTACTGGGACAAAAACTGGCTCCCAAGGTGCGGTGAGGATTTGGTAAGCTAATATTTGTAAAGCACTTAGAACAGCATCTGGCACAACATAAGCATTACATAAGCATGTGCTGTCATAATCTTTAAAATACTGGGCAAAAAGAATCCTTTGATTCATGCATGAATGCCTTAACAAATGTATCAACCAGTATTTTGATTATTGATTAGGTGTTAGGCACCATATAAGATTCTGAGGATGAAGCAGGACCAGATATAGTCCATGTAGTCAAAGAGTTTACAGTCTAACGTGGATTAGAGAGACAACTAACAAAGAAAGGTCAATGTCATGTGAGAGCACAGTGCAATATATAAAATGGATATAGTGATAATACCTACTTCTGAAACTGGCATGAAGTTTCAATATAATTCCTGAAAATACTTTAGTACAGTAATTAGCATAGAGTAAGGACATAGTAAAAGTTAGCTCTTACTCTTGTGTTGTAGTCTTTTCTGTTTGTTTCTTTTCATGCTTGTTTTTTTGACTAGCTCATGAGATTCCCTCCAGAAAAAAAAATCTTATCCTCAATGAACATTTAACATTTTTTGAACAGTATATCCTTGATATTTTTAATACTAAATATATGAAGATTAACAATACGAGGTTCTTGCTCTCAAGAGACAAACTTACATACTTTGAGTTACAACATAATATGATAAACAGTTACAGTACTATAAGCAATAAACTCTAGAAATGTAGAGAATGGGGCAACTCTCCCTGAGGAAACAAGAGGTTTCAAAGGACTTATTACCTCATCTGAATCTTAAAATGAAGAAAGTGTTTTTACAGCTAATGAGTGGTATTGAATGAACCATGTAATGAAAGAATATGATTAATCTAGAGGTTTCAGGAAAGGTAATAGAAAGGAAAAATAATAAACAGGAGGGCAGACATGTGGGTTGACCCCACATGGGAAACCAAGCCCTGGAATAAGTTGTACTTCAAGGTAAAAAATTTAGATTGTGTACAGAGAGCAATGTGAAGCACTGGAGCAATGTCCTTGACCTTACTTGCTTTTTGCATCCCCTTTTTGCTTAAGTATCTGTGGATTATAATCTTCATACAGTAAGCTTTGTTTTAAAGAAGAGAACTCTGAAGGATCTGGTTGGTTCAAGTGTCATATACCCTGATGCCTGGAACTGATTTTAATCCCCAGTATTGTACTTTAGAAACACTATGTGCTCTATAAACATTTGTGGAGCTAAATTGAAAGCATGAGCTTAATCTGAAACAGTTTCTCACTGAACTCACATAAAAATTTTTCTTGGTAGAACAGTCTGGACTTGAATATATTTAAACCTGTGTTCTAACAATAGACTCCTCTTATCCCACAACTTGCTAAGAAGGTCAAACCTTTTACTGTCACAAGAAAGATTGATTTGTGATCTGGAAAAACTGGGAGCTAATTTTCTCCATGGCAAATGAGCACCTCCCATCAGAAATTGTGCTTATTGCAGTAAAGTATTAGTGGTTAAAAAAATTTTGGTCTCTTTCTATTAATTTTATTATCATAGAAAAAAGAAATTGAGTATCCAATTGTTGAAGCTGCAAGAGTTAGGATATGTTATCATCAGTTTCTATTTATATTCTGGGAGCCAAAAGTACAATTGGTTCCTCATCAATCATCAAACTAGAAAAATAGGAGACTGGAAAATTAAGATTCTAAATTTAAAAAGTGGAGTTTTCCTCTCCATTACAACTATCCTAAGAATTTTTCCTAATATGTTTTCTCAATCATCTATAAGTGAGTTTATTATTCAGTCTTGCATGATCACACTGTATTTGTAATCTATTATTTGGCTTATATGGGTCTGAATTTTGTAATGGGTGTGCCTTAGCATACAGTAATTAAATTATGATTAAGTCTATTTAGATGAGTATCTCCCAGTATTTATGTCCAATTTTGAAAGCATTAACAGTATTAGTCATAGTACATGTTAAGCACACCAAATTGCCTAATGAGGTATCTCTATTAATATAGAAAAATTGAAAACTGTAATTTAGTAAAATTCAATCCTGGCAAAACGCATAAATCAAGTAATAATGTCTCCAAATGGAGACTACTACTTCTGGCACTATAAATGTTTTTTTCCCTAGAGTTATATGTTTCAGGTACCATTGCACATTCTTATTTTCTATTATCTAAATTACCATAGATTAAATTCAAATCCCTAATGCACTGAGTTCATTCATCCACATGTTTGGGATGGGCAGGAGAGAAGCAAAGGTCCAGTTCCTGAAACTTTCTATTTAATTGGAGAGTATCTCATTGTCTATTTTCTAAATTAATGGGCTCTCTCTTTTTTTTTTTTTTTTTTGCCATTGTCTATAAAGTACAGAGGCAAAACATACTTTTTTTTTGCACATAATTCATATTTAACTGGGAGATTTTATAATTGTCACAAGAGGTGTCCCTTTGTACCCAATAAGCCATGACAATTTAAAAACATTTTTTTAAAGATATAGGTAGCATATATTTATGTATAAACAGAGTTTACTATTTTTAAATGTGTTAGCATTTAGCAATGGAATCCCCTAATAAAAAATGTGCTTTTCATTAATATTATCCTTTTCCTTTCCAATGCAATTGTACCTGATCATGTCCATTTAGAGCTACAGCCTTTATTACATTTAATTTTCACCAGCCCCCAATGAAATGAGATAGAGGCATTCATTGTCTCTTTTTTCTGATTGGCCAGGAAAAACACTATTTTATACTGTGATTTATAATTCATGTTGTCAAGGGGCCAGATACTCAAGCTAAACAATATTTTTAAAATATATACTTTACACTTACAAGAGAATAAACTGTGAAGGAGATCAGGGAAAATGTAGATCATTTTTCAACTCTAAAGGAAATAAAACTGGAGCTTATGTCACATTCTCCAAATGATAATAGACTGATGTCCAGTCATTTGTCTCCTCAGGGCTACTTTCAAGACTTTTGTAGAAAAAAAAAGTTTCTCTAGGCTTAAGCACTTTTTAAAATTTATGTTCACCTATTTCCTTGATAACCATATTTAATTGTACTGTATTAACAGAGTTTTTCACAGCTTTTTCAGGTGTTGGTATTTTGTTACATACAAGTAAGAAATGAAAGAGGTTTCATTTAAAAAATATATACATAATGGCAGCTTGAATTTTAGTAGCTTTTCAGAATAATACAACCAACAGTACATATAAACTGTGAAAGAAAAATTATTAATTTTCTTACAATGAATACCACATAAAGAATGTCTTTATTCTAATTAAAATGATGATGTAAGATGAACAGTTCCTAAAGAACTGAAATTATCCTAACAGAACCTCATTCCCTATCTGGAAAAGTGTATACTAATATTTACATAAAATACTTCAATTAAAATCCTGCATTTGTCAGCTCTGATTTTAAACCTCCTGCATTTGTCAGCTCTGATTTTAAACCTCTCAAATGTGGAGTACTGGCTTTTCAAGAATCCAACAAGAAAAAAAGATGCTGTATATTTTATCTACAGAGTATTTTGTTTGTTTGTTTAGCTCAAAATTAGTTATTATCATCTAGCAGGCACAGTCGCCATGAAATAAGCTCTGCTTTCATTGTCCTCAAAAGCAATCTCATAGAAGCAGGTCATATTTAAGGACATGATGGATGGCTCAGAAACTGCAGGCAAAATAGCTTTGCCCTGAGTTTTGATGAGGATCTCGCCCTAGTGGAAATTATAGGCTGTTACATTACCAGAAAAGCAGGTGCCCCAGATACTTCAATTCCCTTCCAGTTCCCACTGTGGAAAGAGGAGAGGAAGTAGAAGGTTAAACAGGCACACAAAAGCAGAACTGATCGGTAACAATGGCTCGCTTTTTTCTCATGAGAGAATTACTCATTCCACTGCTGTTTCTTAGTATATTTGGAGTTCGATAACAGGTTTTTACCATCTTTTATGCTGCAGTGAGCTTATATCTTTATCTCTTAAAATATCTTTTTAAAATTTGTCATAGTTTTAGGAAATTATGCATAGTTATGTTTCTATATAATATGCTAACACTGCCTTGTTAATGTTTCTCACATGCCTCATTCATTTTCCTAAATCCTGGGCAAAATCCCCAGAAGAAAATGTCAATTGCTTATACTGCTTCCCCTTTAGTAATTTTCCGATACTGAGAATCTCAATAACCTGATGAAAAAAAAATATTTTCTCAAAAGTATAGCGTAACATTTGGAATAGTCAGTAAAAATGCCATGTTTTCTAGAAATTTAAGTTTCTATTTTTCATTGTCTTCCAAAAGTAATTATCACTAGATTTATAATTAAGTTTTGTGAAAAAATGTCCAAAGTGTCCCAAAATGAAATTTAGAAAAAAATCTACTCCTCAAAGGAGAAGGAAAATAAAGAGGTGAAGGAGGGGTATTTTACTATTTTACATATTAGGAACAGCTGAAATATTTTTAAACCACTATTCTTATTCTTCACAGATTTTATGCACAGCACACACAAGTTTAAAGGAGAAGAATTGGGAGTTTCAGAGAGAAAAGGAGTAGTACAAGGTAACTGTCTCTAAGATTTCCTTTAAGGTCACAATAAAAGAAACATGCATATCTTTTAGGACTTTTAGAATTATTTTAGGCCAACAACCATGGAAACTTTAGATGAGAAATAGAAAGACAAAACAGAAGTCTCCTTGTCCTGAAATAACGGCTCCCAAGGAAAGAAGATGGTGGAACATGTTGATCACATGCACACCCTATTTCTTCTAATTTTCATTGTCTCAGGGAGGAAATGACTTGAGTGGATTCAAGGGTAGACATCAGAGAGTATCACAGACCTAAAACAACTAGAGGATGTGCAACTGTATAGCTATTCTTGGTCCTAGGGTGGACAAGGTCCTTTGCTGCATCAGCAGGAGTGAACAGATCATTCTGAAAAAGCTTGTATAGAGTAACATTATCTCGAAGTTTTTGCAGGGGGTTTGAGACTCATAGGCCCTCTACAGTCTCTCTTACTTTACTCTTACTCTTCAAGTAGTACTTGGGAGTACCTTATTTGAAGATGCTCTTTAAAGGTTAGGAGGTGCCAAGGTTAGGAGTTAGCTCTTTGGGTCTGACTTTTGTGTGAACTTTTAATGTCAAGGGATAAAAAAAAAATGCGGGGTTAATTGATTGAGGAGTTAGTGCTACGTATTCTTTTAAAACAACTGTAAGTCATACCCATAGCTATACTCATACACACACAGACATACACATATATTTGATGTCTCCTTACTAACCTATGATATAGGTACATTATTATTATTCTCATTTCACAGGTGAAGAAAAAGAAGTGTAGACACATTAAATAAGTTTTTCAAGGGGTTACAACTCGTAGGTAGCTGAGCCAAGATGCAAATCCAGACTGGATCCCACTGTAGCATTCTTGGACACTATGCTACAGGAAGGATAATACCCCTATGTTAAAGACAATTAATAAATTATTGCTATACAATCAAGCAATATTCCAGGAATTTGGGATTGCCTTGTTTCCCGTCCCATATCAGTGAGGTAGGAAACTTGAGTTAAATTTGGTATAAGTGCATAAACAAGGAAAAGAGTTTATGCATATTACATAGTTTTAATCTTTGCTGTATTTCTTAGAAACCTAAAATTCAAAGAAGCAATTTATAAAAATTTAAATTTTCTTGTTTTTAGTTAAATTCTGATTGTATTAATATTTTCCAGTGAGTCCTAATACCATAATATGACCTATGCAAAAAAGAGGGTTTACTTTTGTCCAGCAAATTTTGGGAACTGGTAGGAACTCCATTCACCTCTTGGAGCTTCTCTGGGCATCTCAAATGTTAAAGGCTCTATGAGATCCTGCAGTGGGGTTTAGTGTTGTTCACTTCATCATTTCCCAGACTTCTTTGAGCAAGTGTTCTTTGGATGTCTGTGTAGTTGTTGTTTCTTAGATACACCTATTCAATTTTTGTATAGCTACTTGTTCAGTGGAACACTCCACAGTAAAATCTGGATTGCTCAAATTAACGTGGGGAATGAGGACAGCCATTTTACTCCTCTCACATTCTACAGAGAGTTGGAATCTCACAGGTTTTCTCACTGGATGAAAGCACATGCAGTCTCTGGAATTGAGTAGAGTTTCCATGGTAAATTATTTCTTTCAAGCCTCTTTAAAGAAGGTATTTGGCATCTCCTTTGTTGACATTAAACAATATCACTTTCCAATTTCTATGCAACAGCAGTTTACTGTTGTCAGTTTAGAGTTATTTTGCATTATAAATGTTTCTCTGGTTCCTGTTCACTTTTAGTAGAGAATTTTAGTCTTTATTAAACACACTTGTGTAATGTGTTTTAATTATAACATTCAATTTAATTTTGATGGCTTCAAATTATACTGAAAAGGCAAGAAAAGAACTTTGCATTTTTATGTTTCCTTTTAGTTGGCTGGCTGATTGGTTCAGTATTAGTTGATACTTTAGCCAAATAGAATTAATACTAATAAGCTCTTTCTGTTGTCAAACAGTTGTTACAATGATGGTTTAACTACTAATGGCAGATTTTCTAACATCAAATACAGACTCATTATACTTTGTACCATTAACAAATGCTTGTCAATATCAAATTATCTTAGATTTCTGAAGATGTAGTGCTTAATCATTATTATGATATTTCAGACAAGCAGATTATTTTTAAAATTGGCAGTGGTATCAAACAGCAAGTTCATTATTTTAGAAAAAATAATTGTATCAGCACTATAGAAGATCATTTGTTAACTTTCTGTCTACAGACATAAACATTTGTAAGACCCCAAACCAGGGAATCAAGATTTTTAGTTTTAATATGTGGCCTATAAATCTCACTAAGTAGTTCCATCTCATCCTTTTTTTTCTTTCCTATTATTCTTAACTCCATTGGAGGTTCTGAACTCTTCAGGTTCTTGCAAGAATTAGTTTGGTTCTTCTATTAAGGGTTAGTGGTCTTAGTAGTTATCTCACAGTTTAGGAACTAAATCTCATGTCTTGTATTATGAAGAAAGTTTGGGAAGGGGATGGAAAGTGTGAACGATGTAAAGGGACAACCATTATTTCAAAGTGATATTTTTTCTTCTCTATTAAAAAAATGAAGGTTAGAAGTAAAGCAGTTGAAAATATCAATTTTTATATGCTTTTCTAAGATATTCATTCCAATAGCATTTCCTTTCTTGTATAGTATTGTGGTTAAAAGTGTAGCTACACAGATGGCTATTAAGATGCCAGAAGTGAATGAGACTTTCACTTGAGAATACTTGTGTTTGAGAGATTAACACAAGGCAAAGGAATAATGGAAGAGTTAATGTTTTGTCCTCTTAGGAAAGCAAATAGATGACTAATTATTATAAATACTTCAAGGCAAGGGATGTATGGCCAGTGTAGATTCCTTAAGAAGTCTATTACAGTACCTCAATGAATTTTGAATAATAGATTAATAAAGTTTAGGACTTAGAACTTAGGATAACTTAAAAAAATATTTGTAGGGTAGATATCTATGGAATGGAAAAAAAAGAGTGAGTTTTGTTCTGGATCATTTTTGTTCCAATCTAAAGTGCTAACATAACCAGTTTTTCTGCCAGTGTAAAACATATATTTTATTCTCCTTCTCCTCCTTTAGTTGTAATTACTTCCTTCTCCCATCAAGTTTAATAATGAAAACAGCAGTACTTTTGGAGACAGACAGACCAAATATTTTCTTAGACTTCAGTATTGGGCTCTAAGCAGAGCATTAAGAAAGACAAAATTGAGGTTTGTAAGCTTCTGTTTGACTCTCATTTCTCATCCTAATGCACTTCTCTGCTTCCTTTTCCCCAGTCACCTCTTATGTAGACTTTCCCTCATCACACAAGAATTAAGAAACTCAATCTCTGTTTCAAGAGCCTCCCTAACCTAAAGCAAGGGAAAGTGGTGTCTTTTTAGTACACTTGAGACCACGGGCTCAGCTCATTACTGCCACAACAGCCTCTCCTGCAAATAGGTTTCCCACCACCAGCAGACAAAATCATAAGTATTTCTAACTGGGTGAATTAAATTCATCTTTTAAAAGTAAATTATCACAGAGTTCTATATCATAAGAAACTAGCAGAACAGTTCTTAATCCAGTTGCTCTCTGCTCTGTGTTTCCAGAATAAAAAATAAAATAAAATAAAATAAAATAAAGTAAAATAAAAATTGCCTGTTTCAGCTTTCTTACTGAGTATATTCACTCATCCAATCCCTTCCATTCTTTCCAGGTGGAGATTATTTCTATGTGGACTCTTCTCTTGTGGGTATATCTGGACATCAAGTGTCCCCAATATTTTCATAAAATTCATTTATTTCTTCTTTTTCCATCCTATTGAAAATATCATGGGAGATTGTAAGAATAAAATATTTTAGCAGTTTTGGTCTTGTGAGAAAGCATCTCAGGTTTACAGGCTATAGGTTCTGGCACTTATAAAAACCATATTCCAAGTTAACAAGAGATAATAAGTAAAGTTCCCATTACAGAACTCTCACTATTGAGTCTCCCACCTAGATTTGCCCATGCTGGGATCTCAGTAGAGACCATGATGACCAAACCATACATTTTATTTTCAAATCTTACTTTATTAAATTTTGCTTATCTTTTTTTTTTTTTTTTTTTTCTTTTCTTTTTTTGAGCAGAGTCTCGCTCTGTCGCCCAGGCTGGAGTGCAGTGACGCGATCTCGGCTCACTGCAAGCTCCACTTCCTGGGTTCACGCCATTCTCCTGCCTCAGCCTCCAGAGTAGCTAGGACTACAGG